TTAAAATTTCATGATTAACATAATATATCCATAGTACTCATAACGTCACATCCGCGTATCACATTTAAATTTTTTAACATAATCACCTCCTGTGTTACCGATAAGAAAACTGTTCGTAAAATCCCTTTGCTGCTTGCAAAGCTTCCGAAATAAACGTGTCATCACAAGGGTTAACGTCAAAGAAAAACGCACCACACTTAAGGGACTCTGAACAACTTTCATTTATCACTTGTCCATTACAGCATCCAAGTATCGCTCTCGCGCACGGCGTCATGAACCGAGGCGGCGATGTATCGTTTGCATTGCCGCTTCTCGCTTTTATTATATAGGTTAATTCTTCCATAGACAAATTCACGGGGCTCTGGAATGTGCTGAGGTTTTTTTCTGATGATGGTGCCTGCGGCGCGCAAATTGCTTGAGCAAACAGCGCCGTCATTAAGATAATTGTTGCTGTGTCGGCCATAACTGGAATATAGTGAAATGAGTTTTTAGTCGTTATTGCGTTAGAGTGCTGAGCTTGATGTTTGTTGGGACAGTTTCGTAATTGTTCGAAGCTATCATAAAATGTAAAATAAATCTAAACTTTTTAGAGCCAATTAGAAAGTATATTATTTTTATTTCCTGTTAGCTCTAGATATAAAGCTAATCTATGCACAATATCTTTATATAGTATAAAATGAGTCGATTCCGCTGTCTGTTCGCTTAAATCTTTGAAACCACGCAACGGATTTTAATTCAGTTTGCACAAATGTACGTTGCGGTTTCTTTGTTGATTGTCGCATGCCTAATCCTTATTAGTATGTATTGACTTAGAACAACATTTAAAAAAAAATCATTAAGTTTCCTGCTCGTTCTATTGTGATGAATATTGTATTCGAGTGGTACAATAAAAAAAAATATTGTTCCAAAGTGCTAAAAAAAATTAATATTCTTTGAATAAATTTTATTTATATTTCTATTTCAAATATTTTTACGATTTGTGCAAATTAATTTAAATATCCGGGCAAAGCCGGGGTGGGTCGCTAGTATTGTATAACTAGGGACATACTTGTATTTCCTTTCAAAAGCGCAAGGTAACGTCAAATTACTGAGCTTTGAGTAAACATTGCCTTCTTATATTTAAATAATAGTAATTATAGTGATTTACATTTTCTAATATAATTTAAACCTTTTTCTTCTGACGAAATCTACCAATTTACTTTGTAAACTGTATTTCGGGACGAAGGGTGAGATGTGGTAATGAAATTACGGGGTACGGAGGCCTGACTTAGTTCTCAGGAATCGAAACGCAAGTTTACCATCCCAATCTCATAAAGAAAACGCCCTAACTCTTTATTCACTTTTACGTCTTCATCTTTGCCTGGTAATTCCCGCTCAGTGCTTTTTTTGAGCTCATTAAGGTCACTTAATGATGAAATAGTAAATTTTGTTAATGATACAGTTTTTTTAGGAATAACAGTGGACTCGAAGTTACAATGGGGGCCCCATATTTCAAAATTAGCCAGTAGACTTAGTTCTGCTGCTTATGCAATTAGAAGGATAAGGCAATTAACAGACGTGGCGACGGCAAAACTTGTATATTTTAGTTATTTCCATAGCATTATGTCATATGGCATACTGCTATGGGGTAAAGCTGCCGATATAAATACTATATTTATTTTACAAAAGAGAGCCATACGTTCTATTTATGGTATGGGTTCTAGAGAGTCATTACGTCAATGCTTTAAACAATCAAATATCCTCACCGTTGCCTCACAGTACATTTATGAAAATATTATGTATACAAGGAAAAACTTAGATAGTTTCAAGAAACTTAAAGACTGTACAAGTAGAAACTTACGCAATAAAAATAATAATTTTACCTAAATGCCGTCTACACAAAGTTAGTAATTCATTTTATGGTAATTGCGTAAGATTCTATAATAAACTGCCAGAGTCTACGCTAAATCTTACAGAGAGGCAATTCAAATCTTATATTAAACAAATGTTATGTAAAAAAGCCTATTATAAGATAGATGAATTTATAGATGATAGCAATATATAGCAAGAATAAGTTTATTTGCGGACAACGTTATAATTTTAATTTTCATACTGCTTTCTTGATATATGATAGCGTAGTGGCTTTTGTATTGATTGCCGCATGCATCCTTATGTAAAGTGCGAATACTGTAACTACCATATAGTAATTTTTGTAGCTGTGACGTGGTCGTGTGGAATGAGTAGTCATGCTCACTAAAATGTCCAGACATGTGGCGGCGTGGTGGGCCGGGTCAATGGGCTCCCTAAAATATGGTCGAGCGCAGTGATGGCTGGCTCATCCGTCATACTCGTGAACGAGTGCTGCTTGTAGGGACTGGTCTGCTCTTATCACTACGACTGATTTAATCTTATTGCATGATTATATTTGACCCAAAAAATTAGTGCTTGTTGGTAGTTTGTATTCACACGTTTCGACTTGTAAATGTAAACTTACAAGGATTATTTAAAAGAGCAACACACAAGTTTCTTGCTCGTTCTTCTTGTGATGGGACAGCTTTCCGAACGAGTGGTAGATAAAAAACAAATTGTTATGACTATTCAAAAGTGCTTAAATTAAGTTTATTTGAATAAATGATTTTCTATTCTATTCTATTCTATTCTATTCACGCATTAAAATTTAAATTCAAATTGTATTCCATATTCAAACCTTTCTATAAATCTTTTATTGTCTATAAATCTAAAGCGAATATAATTAAAATATTGTATTATATACTTTGATTATATTAAAAAAACCAAGAAGCGAAAAATACCATTTTGTGCTACGTTTTTTTTATATTTTTTAATATTTTGGCAAATCATTCTTCCCACTAAATTACTTGCATGGTATGAGGGAAATTTAAGTACCAGTATGTAGTATTAGTACAAGCGAATTATAGTGTATATTACATGTAAATAATACATATAATGACATGATACGCGAGTGAAATTAACTTGATAGCGTTGCTCACAAGGCCTGTAATGTCACAGACTAGTGTGTCTGGTTTTTCCCATACAAGGACGTTGTATACATATGAGTGCTTCATTCGAAGATAAACTGACTCTTATTACAAACAACACAAGTTTCAATAGTATTGAATTCTATACTTATTTATATTTTTAAGTTAATACAAAAATGTTTTCATGTCAGATTATATAACAAATACATAACCTATTCAAAATATTTTAAATACAATTCTAAAATCATATGGATATACACTATACGTTTCTAAATCATATGAACTACATAAAAAAAAAACCACATCAAGCTACAAAAAAACAAATCATACTAACTGGTTTCATTTGATTCACACATGTTAATTGTATTGTAATATTCTATTATAACTGATTGTACTAACTCATTTATAACCTAAAAAATATGCTATAAAGTAAAACAAAATAATTCCGATATTTATCATAATCATAAATTAATAATATGGTAAATATTACTTACTGTGATTTAAAATGTCCTTTTCATAATAAAAACCTTGATCCACAATACACACACGTCTATGCACGCGTATTTATTAATTCCGAATGCTTGATTTCGCAGTGTTTACCTTTTTATTGCAAGAGTTGGTCAGACGGTGGTGTACCGGATGGTGACGTAGACGCATATTTCTTGTTATCAATCTGGTCATGCGTATATAATATCAATGACAGGGGTTTCCCAATATAACAGATAGAAACGAGATAATAATTTAAAAGATTCTGTATAGTTATGTCCATATTAAAAAAAATCTTGTCTTAATTGTGACTATTTTATAAATATACATATGTTATCATTGGGCCCGGAAAATAATAATTCAGGACAATTTATGCAGCGTCATCTAGTACCAAACTACATGAGTAGAGCTTGTTCTATAAGTACTAAACAACTGATGGAAATAATTAAATATATTTTCTTTAATAAATGAATGTATAATATACAAAGAGAACACTCAATCTAAATAAGGTATTAGTATATACTTAGTGTGTTTTTATTATGCAGTTTACACTAAAAAGGAATTTTATGCAATTTGTACGAAAAGATTCTTGTGAACAAAGCCGCTATAAACAACAGTAACAACAGTAATTAATAAGTTTAATCAAATAAATTATAAAAAAATCTAGTCGTTATTAATATTTTTATTCATAAAAAATAACTCGGAGCGATACGGAAGTTAATCTTATCAATTGCAAAAGAAATTGGTTTACCGTCTATTTCCAAAGTTTAACTGCAAACCTCTGATTCGTACGTTGGTTAAAGAAGACAAGAACTTAAAATAATAAATCAATGTAAAGTACCTAGTATAAGTAGTACTAACTAACAAGATTCTAGTAATTGCATCGCTCTTGCACTGCACTTCAAAGAATTTACTAACGAGGAATTTTCATGCATTATAATTGCAGTGTAAATAAGGTCTAATAATTTTTTGGATGGATATGGATGGAAAATATTCTAGTTAAATTGTCTCCATGAATATTGCAAATCCAGAATAAGATTTCTTATAGAGTGTCAGACGGGTACAAGCAACAAAATTCTTATGAGTGCATTTTCTATGCATTGCACTTCCGAGAATTATGTGATGCGGATGTCTCTTATGTGAATTATAGCTCTGGGTAACTTATATCAGCTTTATATATATATAGGATTTGCTTGGTATAACTCACCTAGTTTAAGAGTCCTCTAGTTTTGGTATGTAGTATTAAATGAGTAATACTCCTTCATTGGCAGGCTTTCATACAAGGTGGCGATTAAGGCGAGAAGACAAAAAATTAAGCACTTTAACTGCTTAATTTTCTGTCTTCTAATTGTACTAACTTTTTGATTTATTAATTTGTATTTATTTGTCTAATTATTTTTTCTGTATCTACGTACACATGAAAATAAAAACGACGTAAAAAACTTATGAAATAAATTTATTTAAAAATTAGATATAATGACTGATAATGTGCAAATTTTATTTATTAATTTCATTTAAAATTACAGATACATACATTATCAAAAAAAATTTAATAAAGAACCGTTTTTATTATGGACACGTACAAAATACAACCGTTTTTATCATTGTAATAAATCAATAAATGTGCAAATGAAATCTGAATTATATCCAAAATTTAAATATGTATAAATAAATGAATAAAAGTATAATATCAATTATATACATAGTTGTAAGTTTGCTTACAATTACAATTGTAAGTTTGTTTCTACGCACGATTGACGATAAAAAAGTATCCTGTCAAAAGTCTATTTTATTATAAAAATACATTCAAATGTAACCATATATCAAACTAACATATAGTGTATCTAAACATTAAATGAAACGAATCGTTAATTATTTTTACATCAAAAACATGAACATATATTATATTAACAGTGTTATTGAGATTTATTCATCCATACACTATTGATTTGTAGCACTATAATATATGTACCCATAATATGTACTATTTGCTAAACATCATCATCATTTCAGCCATATATTATTTGACAATCTGTATAACAAAGGTATATACTATAAATGAAACCTTAAAACAAAAAGTATTCTCTTGTATATCTCTCTAAACTTGTTAGCCGAAGTCTCGTCATCAAATTTGAAGACATTTCTGCAGAGTAACGTGGCAGAATCGTACCGAGATCAATATCGCTTCGAATAAGTATCATTTAACGTATATTGCCTTTTTTATAGCATTATCAAAATTTATTTTACCCATTATAGTTTATTAACATATATATTTACAAATGCATTTATGTTTATATATATATATGTATTGTAATATCTGTATTATTTCTCTCCAATACATATATTTGTAGTCCAAGATGACCTTTCCCATACTGTGGGCGATCAACTTAAAGTTTGAATTAACAATAACTGTTCAACTTTGTTTCGATTGAATCGTGTTTAAAATCCTGCTTATCCATTGAAGATGTGTAATATTTGAAATGCTCACCCGTGTTAGATCATCGATTGCTATCGGTTGAAGTTGGATTTACCCAGTCTGACAAGTTGTCTGTTTTATAAATACATATACGAATATATGCTCGTCTACAGAATTGAGAGTAGTATTCTTAATTAATACAACCTTGATAATTATATAAATTACAGTATACATTAAAGAAATAACAGAATAATTCAAATAATCTATTTCTTCCTACAGGGTTAGCTATGAAGGGTATAAAATACGCCGACCTCGATAGAATACTGTTCAAACTGAATTATATTTACCAAGAATTTACAGAATGGAAATTTGAAAATTTATGAACTTTCATATTACATTGATCACGTGACCGCACAGTTTGTAATGTCTGGAAAATTACTTTCAATTTTGTAATTTAGTTCTTTGGAACACTGTGTTTCATGCTATACTAGATGCAAACTATTGTACCCTTTACATGTAGCCCTGTACGTGATATTCTATTCCAGTATAACTATAATTGAATATCTACTCAAAGACCTTTTCGTCTGTTGTTTGAACTTTACGACAAATAATCATGATTATTGTATGACCGAGGTCGTAAAGAGGCAAGAAAATTACATGGCTCATCATTATACAACGAATAAACTATACTTGTAAACAATTTTAAGTAGATAAATACATCTTTATTACGAAAATAAGTATCTTTAAAATTGGCTCTACGTAACCCATTGCAAAAAAGGTCATTCGTCTTCGTCTCTATTATATGTATTCTAAAATGAAGTAATAATTCTCCAAAGACTTTACTTATACGTAAAAATATGCAAATCACGGATTTTTACCATGTTTTATTTATTTTTATGGAGTTCCCAAACTTTATTTACTAACTACCCGCTGCTCTTCAGTTTGCCCGTGATCATGGCGGTTGTACCACTGCCAAAATATCGGGAAATTAATAGAAATAAATAAAATGTGGTAAAATTCTGTATATTTCCTAATTTTACGTATAAACGAAATTATATAAATGTTAATTGTAGAGAATGTTATGGTTTAATGAATTTTACATTTTATTATGTACGAATTCGAAACAATATTGGTAAATGACAACAGAAAATATAAGTTCATGTTCATTTTCGTAAATTAGTTATATAATGAAAGGTGCAAAATAATATAAATTTAAAGATAAACTAGTATAAATATCATTACTATAGACTAAAAAAGCAGATCATTTTCTCTTAAATATATTTTCGGTATTATAATAATATTTACCTAAAATTGTATTGGTATAGGAATACTGTCCTAGTATACATACTTAATAGTTATATTTTAACTATTAATTATATACGCTTTATATTTTTATACAATAAATTAATAGACACATAAATAAACTTAAATACAAGCAAACATTTTACTACTTATTTATGTAATAAAGGATAAAACATAATTAGTGGTGCCTAAAATATTGAGAACTTTGTTATTACAATTATTTATATTAGGCATTTACGTACTATTTACTATATCTGTAATAGGTAACTGTCATCTTAATAATCTCTTACAATTCTTGTAATAACACACAAGTTGCATTCATTGATAACACAAGAGCGAGGCATCAACATATTAATTGAATACAAATAAATTAAACTGCGGCAGTTTTATAAGTACTAATCACATATATACTTAATCTCAATGAGGTAAGAGCACAAGTCAACCAGTCCTCTGGCCATAGAAACTTTGGAATCTATTTATCACTCTGAGTATGACGTTGGAATCACAAGGATTGCCATAAGCTGTTGGATCAGGACATCCCTGTAGAGCGAAGCAATCATACGTCACCTGAAGTTGATGACAGCAAGATAATACTGCACCATCACATGCACTGGGTGCTTCCGAAATTGGATTTACAGTTGTCGGATTCTGAATTGGATTTATAGTGGTAGAAGCTTGAAAAGACCCAGGTGTAGTGGTAATTGGCTCATCAGCATTACCTTGACTGCTTCCGTGTTCAACTGGAGGAGCTGGTCTACTTATTGGTGTATTAGGTTGAATAGGCTCAAAAGATATAGGCCTTGCTCCGTCGTTCTCATCATAATCGTCTACTTGTTCGTTAGTAGTTGTTCCTATTTCATTAACAACTCCCCAATTTTGTCTGTTGTCTTCCATTTCTGGAAATCTAGTTTCTATGTTTGGAGAGGGAGAAGTTGTGTTTTTCTTGTTATCTGGGGTAGTTTGTGGACTTTCAGTTTGTGTTGGGCAATCGCATCCGGATTGTGGAACATAAAAAACAGGTAAATAAAATGGGAAATTATTTGAAGAGAACGATGGAAATGATGGTGCTGGCTGTCTTACAATACCACTCAGTTCTTGCAATCTTCTATGAATTTCTACAAAGGGATCTTCGTATCCAGGATTGAAAGAATTATCCTTCTTTCCATACCCTGAATTGTATGATGGGTTTATTGGTGGAAATCCATAAAAGTTGTACCATCGTTTCTCACGTTGACTTTGTTGCCCATTGGTCTCTGTTTCTGCTACATCTAATAAGGACAGTGTTTTACTATTTAGGTTTCCATCTGTTTGTTCTATATTGACTAATTCTTCTGGTTTTTTTTCTTCACTTGGTGCAGCACTGACATAGAACTGTACTGTCAGCGCGACAAGTAAAATTTGATACTTTGATGCCATCTGAAATAAAAAAGAAATTATTATAAATATTTACATATTTATATACCTTTAAGTTACACAATATTAATGGTAATAGGTACATTTAATGAATGTAACATTTGTGATGTTTTCTACCAGTTAACAACGACTGTAATAAAGGAATCAATGGATATAATATCCATAAAATGTGTTAAAATGGTTAGATGTTAACAATTTTTATATTTTTTATGTCTCTAACAAATATACCTACACAAAAATAACACCGAAGATACCGAAAAATATTTGCGCTAATAAAATAATAATGGAATTTAGAAATGCCTTTTCAATTAACAGTAACTTAAGAATCGATTCTCATTATTTAAATTAAAGTAACAGTAACTCAAAAACCTTTTTTATATATTTTTTATAACTATTGGGTCCGTTATTTTATGATATTTTTGACCGATTGTCAAGAATGGTAGGGTCTTGCCTGGTTATGTTATCTGTGCCTCTACGGAGTTTGTTGTATGAACAGGACATCTTCACAAAAGCCGAGGAGATTTAATTTATTATTTTTACAAGTGATAGGGGATTATATTTATATTGGGTCTTTTTTTTGGTAGTTAATTTTTTGTGGTATAAAAATAGATATTTACTTGTACCTACTAATTAAAATTTCCGGAAACAATAATTGTAGGTAAACTGCAAACAAAACATTAATGACCGAGGTAATTATAATTTTATGTCAGTACCAATGAAATTTTAATAAAATATGATAAATTTAAAATTTGGACTGCCGGATAATTTAAATTCAGAATGCAGGATAAGCTTGTAAATTGCGGGCAATAATTAGCATTGGCGCGTCATTTGCGTTAACTATCTGACAGGCGCTCTCGTATCAACAGCAATTACGGCTCGCCAGCATGTTGTTAATCACAATAATCGGCCATGATAGTATTATTACATCAATTATTATTTCCTGATCTATATATAGATTAGACTACAATAGCATATTATTGAACGATCGGTTATTGTATATATCGGTTATTATATTTATCTACCAATTTGATATTTCTGATCGAGTTAATTTTTCTGAGTACCCATTCTCATTCAGCTGGCCCTCAGCTTTTTTGTAAATTATTACGGAATGCATGAGAGCTACAATGGGCGTCAGAGGATATGATATTCGTGGTGCTTGCTGTTCTTGTATGGTAGGCATATGGACAACATTTACTACATTCAATTAGGTGAGCCATTGTTCGCGTCAGCTTTTTTGGGATTTTAATTACAATATACAAAAAATACCATTAAAATCTTACAATACTCATTAAATCTTACACGCCATATACTAGTCCCAAAGTATTGACTTTATTCTACATAGTAATCCACTAAAGTAATTTTTTTAAACTACACGGTCTGTCGCGCAAAATGATTTCATTATGATTTTGCCAAAATTGTTGACAATGTCAATAGCATGTTCTGGGCGTAAATATATTTAGTGTTGTTACCTTTGAGCGATAATGGGGCTTCATTTTTATTGTGAGTAGCGTGCTCATAACTTCTTAACTTCGATCTCGATTCGAGGATATTTTTGTGTATATTACGCAATACCTTTATCTAATTTTGTATTGATTTTGACTATTATTACTGCTGTCGATATGGTTTAAATACCTACAACTTATGTAGTAATTGTTATCCGTACTAATATTGTACATAGACAAAATTAGTGCGGTTAACAAATACATCTTAAAGATCCATCTTACTAATATTATAAATGCGAAAGTCTGTGAGTATTGAAGGATAGATATAACTTACCCTTTCACGCAAAAACTTCTGAATACTTTTAAAGACACTTTACAATAATATAACATGCATCAGAACAATACATAGGCTATAAATTCACGCGGGTGAAACCGCGGACACAGCTAGTATAATAATAATGTAAATAAAAACTAAGACAAATTGTCTTCTTTTGCCTAATATTTAGTTTTTAATGTTTTTTATCTATTTAATGTTTTTATGCATATTTTTAAATACATATGCTGCACTCCTACTTTATATATGTGTGCAAAATTTCATACTCCTCCGTCTGCGCAATTTTCATCAAAAGGAATACAAAGTTTTTGATATTAATTGTAATATGTCTAAGTATGCGACTTATTCATATGCAATATTATTTCTGGTCTATAGTAGATACGATGTAGTTGACCGTGTTAGATATTAAATTAGTCTATTAACATTAGATGAACCTGTTACCCAGATATAGAATTATAATAAATTATTTATGATTGCACTGAGCAATTAGAAACCGGTTTATTCTCGTGAATATCTTTTGTATATAATATTCGATATTATTTATTACCTATATCACAGATAATATAATATATATATGTATATTGACTGGTATTGTATTTACAATAACTAGATCGCATTTTGACGTTAATGTTAACATTCTTATTATTAATTAATATTTATTATTTTTGTTTTTAAATTACAATATTTATAGTATATATAGTATCTATAACACTATTTTTAAATAAACATATATTACCGACATTTATAAATCTAAGAAGGAAATAAAAAAGCAGAGAAATCGTGTATCGTAATTGTGTATAAAAAGGAATATTATTAGCATAATATTAAATATATACCTTGTATAATAATAAGGTACGACAAAGTCACAATTTTTGTATTTATTAATAATAATTTACTTATGTTTGAATACCGGTTGATAGGCATCGGTGTTGATATTATTATTAAATATTTGTTGTACATACTAGTTATATAATTACAATATGGGAAATCCAGTCGATGTTTTATTATTGATATTACCAATTATAACACTTGAGTTACATGTGTTAGCTGCCTACGTTCATTAAGCCGGATATAGGTATTTACTTCACAATTTGTTGTCTAAAAAATTCTAGTCCCAACCATTATAAATTAAAAAAGGCTTTAATACATATATGTCTCCAAGAAACCATATTCTTTTTTATATTGCGCGACTGTTCCGAAAGAATTTCGATGATATTTAAATGATTTATATTTTATTATCACTTATAAGTACTGAATACTTTTTTTATGTAATTTCCATAGAAATATAAAGAGGTTTGTCATTAATGACAGATTTATCACAGCAAAACCAAAACTGCCATTCCTAAAACAAGATTTTATACATACCTTTGTTTCAAGAAAACATGTATTTTCATATTTATTGTAATCGAGCTAAAGTTTGATAAATTGCAAGGCATATTCACATAGTAACAGCCTATTTTTAAAGTACCTATTCCTATATATATCTATATACATTCCCGTGCCAAACTGAGGCGTACCAGCACCAGATATAACCGCGCCTTTGTGCACGTGAATTACGATATAAATAGCCGGTGTTATTCTAGGGTACGATCCATCTGTGTGCAAAATGTCATTCAAAATCATTCAACTGTTTAAGCATGATTGATTAACAAACATTCAAATACCAATTAATTTAGGTGCCACAAATAACTAAGCGACAGGAGTATGGTCAATAAAACATCGCAAGACCTACTATATTGTAAATTGTTTACAATATTATAAACATGATAATTTGTAAAAACTCATTGTAATACTATTTGTAAAAGCTCGTTAGACAATACTCACTCCAAATATGCTGATATTTTTAAATGAAGCCTTTAGTACTCCAGATATATACACTGAAAAATTCTAGTGGGGACTTAAGTTCTCAAATATGACTTTGAACCTTATATCTAAGTACATACATGTTACATGACTGCATCACGCGGATTTCGCAATTGAGAATTGAGATGAAAATATTGCCTATGAAATGCATTTTTGTATAAGTCACACCATCATATTTTTTACATTAATCATTTCTTTATTTATATCTAATTTCCTTCCTAAGATAAACAGTTTTATTAGCAGTAATTATAAGGGTTGTCAATAAACAATAACATTAGTCGCTTAAAATCTCGTACTTACATCATTGTTTCCGTCATTCTCCTGTGTTAATTATTCAATAATTATTGCTTTTAATTAGCCAGCAGATCATGAATACCGTGAACACGCCGCTTCATTTTCGATATAGAGTGTACGAGTTAAATGTCAAATTTACCTAATCATGACCAAAACGTACTTGAATTGTAAAGTTCAAAGGCTTTATTGTACACGGGCGCTAATGTTTGCAGATTTCATCAGTGTACGTGGACAATGTTTTATATGAATATGCAATGGAGGTGTTATTTACGAAATTGGTTACAATTCTAAGAGAATAATTGTTTCTTTTGTTGAAATGTGGTCATCATTGGTAATCTATCTATGTAAGGGAGGATTTATTATATATGAGGTTGATGGAACTATATATATTTAAATAGATCTTTATAAGGTGTATTATATTACTGCATTTGCATTTGAATTATATTCACAATAACGTTAAAATTCAGCTATATTAATTGCACATTAAAATGATGAGAAAAATTCAGTAATACATTATTATCACATGAACTCAAAAATATAACGATAATTTAGTATAAAAATATCAAATAAACCAGATTGAATAAAACAAAATCAATATCGGCTGATTGAATTGAGTAGACAGGCGCCTATGTTATATGTTGAATTCAATCAACCGAAGCTGCTATCAAACTACTATAGTTCAGTTTTGAGTTACCAGATCAAATACCGAAATTTACTCACAATATTTCTTTTTACAGTTTAGCAAATATTCTGACATTTATGACTGTCGTATTCATATTTATAATAAATTTGCAACAGACTTATATATGTGCATTATAGATATTGAAGAAAGTAATACGGGATTTTTTTTAGAGTATCAGAAGCTGAGACAGCGAGTATATTAGAATTTTAATCTGTGTGTTCGTACACGTGGAAAAACTACTGTATCGAATTGAATGCAGTTTTCAACGATGTATTACTAGAGATTTAATTTTAAATATAGGAAATTATATTATATTTAAAAACTGTATAAATATAAATTATAAACTATATTTTTGTTGGTTGCTTGTATGCCAATAAATTCTTTGATA